ATATACCCATGATATCCAAAAAGGGCTAACTTGATCAGTCTGACTTTGTGAAGTAGAATTTACATCTCTAACCACAGTTTCCTAACTATCATTTAAAATCTCACGGTTGTGCATACATATTTCATCCATAGATACTTGATAATATGAATTTTTGAAGGGATAACAAATTTAATCTCTTGTGTTATGCTTCATAGTATAATTAGAAAATCAGAAAAAATACACAAATTTAATATAAGGCAATGAAAATATTCAGTTTTAATTTATCCACTTATCCTTCAATTGAGTAGTTTTAGAAAATACTACTAATCTGAATAGCCTCACCAACAGAATACCATTGGAAGGTGAAAATCCTCTTGTCATAAATAATGAGCTAGAGAACCTCTCACATCAGACAGAACTCAGTACCCCAGTAGTAGTACAACTTTGGCACCCTTATTAAATAGCTCAGAACAAGTAGGGGTTGTCACTCCTGAGATTAAAGACACATGGATGCCCTGCCAGACTAAATCTATATCCCACAGGGGGCCGACTGAGCACAGGCATGACATTTATCTTTGTCTAGCCTTTGCTTTCACTTTTTTTTCCCTAGCAGTGATTATGTCCCTTCTCTCTGCAGCTACATCTCCAAAACCAGACACGCTAAATGACTGTACAGTGTGTGATATCAAAAAACTGGACACAGTTTTCTGATAATGTGCACTTTTATGTGATAGGGCAGGCAACAGAGTAAACCTTGCCTCTTCACTCTAGGTGTAATAGATTATGTTTGGCAAGCCCAGAATAAGTGTGTTAGCCCCAGTAGGAAGACTAACTTTACTGTCTCCTATAGATCAGAGATACACAGACATTTTACCTGGCATTGTAGAGTAAGAGCAGCAAGAAGCACATCCATCACCCTAATCTTGAGCACAAGATCAGTTAGTATGGAGGTGACAATAGTAAATGCATATACCAATGGAAGAGTATACCAGGGGAGATTGTAGCTGGCTTGAGAGGAAAATCTGAGTCCTTCAGGGTTAATTCCTGAAAACAATAAAAATCACGGGGGATAATTTATACGAAAAGAGAATTTATTGCAAATAGACACAGAACTAAAAGTGGCAGGAAGGTAGAAGAATAGGACAACTGAGACAGTTCTATTGAGACACTTTAGTGGCATGTGGAGTCATGTGAGATTGTTTCGGGGTCTGGGTGACAATTTGACTTCTCCCTCAGCCCAATTATACTCACTTTTTCCACTTTTTTTTAAAACAAAACATCATACTCAGAAATTATCTCAGAGACTAAACCCAATATGAAACAACACTTTTTGATTCCTGCATTCAACACGTATTTTATCAAGCACTAATGAACAAGGTGAAGACCACTCCTATATGGATATTATATCCTACTTGAAGAAACACACAATAAACAAATAAATGTACCATGGTACACACATACACGCATATAGTTTCTTGGAGATGTTCAGTCAGCAATCAGACTAAGAAACTGTGGCTCTTAGACAGAACTAAGAAGCTACAAATACAGATTTGAAGAAAAGTATAAAGCAGAGACAGCATTCCCTCATATAAAATGGTTTCTACTGCTGGGTTTTCTCCTCACAGGATACCTGCAATTTTGGCATGAAGTACGCAATCACTTTCAGGTGAAATAACAATGTAGAAAAACAGATGAATGGAAAATTCAACAAATTAAAACCATAAGCATTTACTTACACTAGGTGTCTTAAGGGTCAGCAATTTGGGCTGCGCTCTGCTGAATGGTCCTTCTACTCCAGGCTGTGCTCACTCATATGACTGGGACACACAGCTCTCCCAGGCCACAATCTTCCAGCAGGCTGACATGACCATGTCCTCCACTGATAACAGTAGAGCAAGAAGATGACCCCAAGGTAGGTCCCATAGCTGAGCCCAGAGTCAGAGTGGGTTGGAGGCTGTCACATGGACAGGGCAAGGATGCAGTGAGGTGAGGAATTGGGATCATTTCTGCCTGGATTAGGTGTAGCCGTTGAGGGGTAACTTTTATCCAATAGCAGATTATTCTTCTTGGACCACAGGGAAAGTAAAAAACACTTTCTCCATTTGTATTCCTTCATTCTCTGCTGCCTCCAGACACTGATAAGGCTCTGGAGGATTCTAACGTAAGTTGGCTCCCTGTGCCTGATGCTTCACCCCTGTAACAGAGAAAGGTTTAAAGCATTAATTTTGCTATGAGACAGAGCATCAGGCTGGAGTTTTAGGAGCAGCAGCTGGGAGCCCAGGTTCCCCCAGGGCTATCAGAAGAAATGGCTCTGAGTGTGGATGAAGAGGCCCCGAACTAGGAAACTGGCAGTTACGTTCCATATAAACCGATAATCATGCTAGCTAACAGGCTGAATACTTACAATATGCCATTCACTACTCCAAGCACTTCACATACATTAATGGTAATCTTTATAACCCTGTAGAGCTAGCATTAATATTCTAATTTTATAGATAAGCTGAGGCTCATAAAGATGCTTGCCCAGCGCAGCCCCTGTGGCTCAGTGAGTAGGGTGCCGGCCCCATATACCAAGGGTGGTGGGTTCAAACCCAGCCCTGGCCAAACTGCAACAAAAAAATAGCCGGGTGTTGTGGCAGGTGTCGGTAGTCCCAGCTACTCAGGATCTGAGGCAAGAGAATCACCTAAGCCCAAGGAGTTGGAGGTTGCTGAGAGCTGTGACATCACAGCACTCTACCAAAGGTTAATAAGTTAAACGGTCTCCAAAAAAATGCTTGCCCAAAGTCATGAACAACAGAGCATACACTGGGGCCTACAGAATGTGAGCTGGCAGCCTGGCTCCAAAGCTGTGCCCTTGCCCTGATCCAGGCTACCCTATTAGGAACTTCCCAGCCCCTGTGGGAATGCTGAGTGCAGAGAAAACTCTTCACACAGGTAGTGACACCTCCATTTTCTCTTAAGAGAATGAAGCTCCCCTGACACTGAGGGGTCCCTATGGGAATGGATACCCTCAAGCAGGCCTGAGCCAGTGTCAGTTGTCACTGTGGAAGCAGTCTTCTCACTGCACTCCAAAGTCTACTGCCTGCTTCCCACGCTGGGCCTTGGCATATGCGTCTGGCTCCCTCCACACATCCCTCCACCTCTGACTGGGTCCCTGGGGTGTTCCCATAGAAGAGACCCTGGACCCCATGGACACATGGTGTTCAAAAGATAGGTGAGGGAAATCTTGGCCTGTGGGAAGGACTGAGACCACTGAGCCCCAAGCTGACACTCATTCAGTGTTCCCTGCTACATGCGGCCATAGAAGATGAATCTGGGCAGGGTAGGAGGGGCTGGAGTCTCCTGTGTTATAGACGGGAGGAGGGGGGGACATCTCCCCGGACTTGCTCTTCCCACCTCTTCCTGCAGAGTCTAAGCCTACCTCAGGCTCTATTCTGACCCCAGCTCTCTCTATTCCTAGCACCCAGAAAGCCCATTCTGCATCCACTGGCCTCCTTATTTTTGGCCCTCTGACCACAGCCACCTCCCACTGACCCCAAGCACCTACAGCAGACATCAAAATGACCTCCTCTGAAGGTACAATTTCTATGTGGTTGCACTGCCACCTTCTGGGTGTCCTCAGCTCCACCACTGGGTCAATATATGGTCCTAGGACTCACATACCCATGTGGCCTGACATGGGGACGGATTCTTTTTCACAAAACTCCTGGGAATCAGAAGAGCTAGGGGCTTCTAAGGGCCTGGAATGAGGAGCATTTACAACATAGCTGAGTATTTGTTCTGTTCATGCACATAAAGGTCAGTGCAAGGTATGTTCTATGGCATATACCTTCAAAAAGGACTGACCTCAAAATAATTAACTCAGTCCAACCTCAGCCATCCCAGCAACTTCCATTCATACAAGCTCAGTAAGAAATTTTCAGTGCTGATTCAAGATCCTGAGATATACCTGTTCTTCTCCCCCTAAACTCAGGAACCATGACTTACCATTTCAAAATAAACAACAAAAAATCCCAGGAAGATCTACTCTGTAAAAATTATAGTACATTTTTATTTAAAATATAAAAGCAGGCCAGGCACAGTGCTCACACTGGTAATCCTAGCACTTTGGAAGGCCGACGTAGGAGGATTGCTTGAGGCCAGGAGTTTGAGATTAGTCTGAGTAAGAGCAAGATCTCTTCTCCACAAAAAGTAGAGAAATTAGCTGGCCAAGTCCCAGCTCCTTGGCAGGCAGAGGGCAGGAGGATTCCTTGAATCCAGGAGCTTAAGGTTACAGTGAGCTATCATGACACCACTGCACTCTAGCCCAGGCAACAGAATCTGTCTTAAAACAAACAATACATAAAAGCAGACAGAGCTCCATTCTACCAATAAAACAATTCAATTAGCATAAGGTACTGTCTTTATGTTAGTATTGGACATGAGGGAAGCAGTGAGAGCCACTAAGAATCCATTTGTACAACAGGGAAGCAGTTATTGAACAGTCAAGAAAGTGATACTGACATGTTTTAGAGGCAGGAGGATTCACCATGAGGAAAAAAAGGCCAGAAGGCAGCTCAACATTAAGGAGCAAGGCCCGGAAACTCTTGGGTGGGTTCGAGGGAGGAGGCGGCAGCTGTGGGCTTAGCTGGTGCCCACCTTGATCACATGGCTTCCTCTGGAGGGCTTGCAGTTCCACATGGAAGAGAAAAAATACAAAAGGTCAAGTCACCCAACCTGAGAAACATGAAGCTGAGATGCATTTCCCAGAGCCAGGAAAAGCCTGAGCCTTCAGAATAGAAAGAACCTGTGTAAAGGGTTCGGGAAGCTCAGAGCTGTATATTCCCAAAGGCGCCCTTATGCTACCTTCGGATCTCAGCTCCCAGGCCCTCCAGTACAGATCCTCCCCACCTCTGTCTCTGTCACTTCACTGGCCACGCTTCTCCCACTCCCACAGAGCTGGAAGCCACCCTGTCAGAGGGTGGGGACCCAAAACCAAAGATGAGGCACATTATAAGCACCCAATCCGTTCTCTCTTTCAGGTCTCAAGCCTCCATGTGACAGAAGATCCAGGGGATGTGACTGTGAAATTCCCCGTAGCAGGATCTCACATTGCCTCCCTGACTGCTGAAGAAACACAGACCAGTTCCTCCTCTCCTTAGCACTCAGGCTCCTCGCCCACCAGGCCAGGATCACACCCCTGTTAGTCTGTGTCTCAGACATTCACCAGCAGCTCAGGGATGCTGGGACAGGAGCATATCAAGAGGCTACCCTCACCTGTCCCTGAGGAGGAAGAAAGTTGAGCTTCTCTGGTTCTGAGTAGGGCTTTTGTCCCAGGACCTCAGCCCATGTAAACTCAGGCTTCCTTGGACCTCTTCTCCTCAGGCCCAGTTCTAAAGCCAGGCTCTCCCCTACTTCATCTTTACCCCCCACACACACACTTTGCCCATAGAATTATAGCCCTCCCCTGCTCTGCTTGGCATTGCCCAAAGCCTCCCATCAAAAAGCTGGGTCAGGCCCTTGTGTCCAGAACACCCCAAAGGTGTTCTTGTCAAAGAACAGACCAGGAGGCACCCTGGGCGGCTCAATCCCAGTGTACAATTGCTGGATAAATTTTCAGAAGGAAATGCTGTACATTTATTCCTGGCTTCATCAGGGTAATGCAGAATGACAGTGCATACCTTTGTCTCCCTCTTTTTAAACACGACTCACTGAGACATGGCTCCTATCACAGAAACCAAAAACTACTCAACACTGGGGACCTAAAGGTGCTGCCTAGCCCAGGTTTCTCTGGAGATAAGATTAGTTGAAAACTGGTGGTAGAGCTGACCTGCCTGACACCCAACAGTACCACAGGAGATAGATGGTAGGTAGTAAGGACACAGACAGGTTTTCAATACAGGGACCCCAGGGTGGAGGACGTCCTCACTCACTGGCTGTGTCCTACAGGAGCCAGCAGTGCCATCAGTTGCTCAGCTGGTTCTCAGGGTTTTGCCTAGAAGAGGACACATCTGACCTGTCCAGAAAACCCCTCAACTTTGCAACTGCTGCTCACAACGTGGACAACACCTACAAAAATTAGGCACTGCAAAGCATTCTGTTCACCAGGGCCAACCCTCCCAGGATCCAGATGAAAGGAACACACAACTGCAGACATAGCAAACACCCGCTTAAAGTACAAGTACCCCCTGAATCCATCTGCTTGAGGAGGAGTTGGAAATCAACATTTGTGGAGATTCCCTGGCCCTAAAGGATGAACCAACTGCTTAGGAACAACACAATGACCAGGAATGACAAGGGTCAAGGCACACATTAACAGTGTCCACAATCTCCAGGCCCCACCCATAACTCAAGAGTCCTCAATATATTTACTCACTGATGCCTAAATTTTCCTGCTTCACACAAACAACTGCTCATACACATCCTGAACACAAAGACACGCACACAGAGCAGTGTGTGCTGGTAAACATTTAATAAAATGCTCGCTCCTCTGGGTGAGGTAGAAAAGTCTAAATGTGTGGTATTTACCTGTAAATATAATCTGATGTAAAATGGTGTGAATAACCCAGCAAAGCTACCAACCTGCATCCTGAGTAGGACTCTCAACTCTTAACAAATCACACTACATGGCTCCAAAAAACAGACCCCTCAAATATACTGAGCACATATGTATACCTGCTACCTACCCCATGAATACACATATGGGCCTCTTCCTACCTAAATGTGGACAGACAAAACTACTCACCTAGAATGTCCACATGCCACTGCTACAACCATATATATACACACACACACACAAACAAGTGCCCAATACAAACATGTACAATGAACACACTGCCCATATGTACACAATGAAAACTCCATAGCAAGCCACAGGTTCTCAAAAGCCACACTATCCAAATAGTTGTTTCACGCTTTCCCCCTAAAAAAGTACCACACGCAATTCACACAGCACTAAAATACACATGCCCCATGATTCCTGAATGCACACACAACCTACAAAGCCTCTGTTTCCAAAGACACATACCAAACCCCCCACATCTCCCACAATACAAAACACAAAAGTTCCATGAATTCAAATACCCACACTAGCCACGATCTATTATAAAATACCTATAAGTCTATCCCACAAACTCCGAGAACATATACAATCAGGATCACCAAATTCTGCAAGTAGCATGATTCAGAGGATCCCTGACTGTCTTGATATACTCACAAACCCTTTATACACACTCACAATCTATGCATGAATCCATACCCACCAGAGATACATACAAAACACAAAAACACCAATGATCTTTGCATTCTAATAATAAACATACGCAACACTCCGAAACTTACACACAAGTATTCTCAATCCTGAATATCTATGTCCCTCAAAACACTATACGATATCCTACATCTCCTCAACATTCCCTTAAAACACTATATAAGGGGCGGCGCCTGTGGCTCAAAGGAGTAAGGCCAAAAACTGCAAAAAAAAAAAAAGCCAAACTATACAATATCCTATGTCTCCTCAACATTCTCCAAACATTCCCAAAACACATGTAGAAACTCCCTAAAATAATTACAAACTTAAAATGAACAGATAGATAATAAATACTTCCACCTGGATATACACAAACCAGTATAACCACCCAAGACACACAGAAATAACTCTAACATATCATTTAAGAATATACATAAAAACACTTCCAAATCCTACATTAATCTAGTAGGAACCAGCTCCCACTCCCCCAGTACTAACAAAAACCATATCACAAATATCAAATATATATATTTCTCCCACTTCCCTGTTTAAATACAGAATCCCATCTATCAGACAAACACATACTCAATTCCCAGAATATACTAACCCTAATAACCACTCACTGAAAAATACAACCACATAGCCCCAAACAATATTCAGCCAAATTGTTTTGCCCACACAAACTTAATATACCTTTCCTAATATACCTTTCCTCATGACCCAAATATACCCACAATTACCTAGCACACTAGAAAGAGGTAAACATACCACCTCATATCTGCAAATACACATACCTGCTTATCCATCATCACACACTCCCAAATACATAGAGATAGCTCCTCTATCTTCCAGAATACGGAATCATACAAACCCCACCTCACAACTGTACATATTTATCCTACCAGGGTCCCAAAACAGGCATAGATGGCCCTCACACACTGATACACCCATACACAACTCCTGAAAATCTCAACAAGGAATACACAGGACCGTACAATGTGCCCTGAATACAAAATGGTCCTCTTACATCCTCCAAATACAACAGACCACATAATCCAAAAATAGATACACAAGCATGTCCCCTGACACTGCCCATATGCACAAGCAGATAATGATACTTCCAAACCTGCCATTAGACACGTACAAATCCCCAACATTGCTGGGAAAACACACATGGAAAATATACCTCAAATCTCCAAACTACAAACACTGAACACCAACTTTTTGAGTACATATCACATCTCACCCCCTCCACATACAAACATTCACCCCTACGCACGCTCAGAAAAAGTCACAACCTTCTTTTAATCCACAATATACACATGGACACCACCAACCCACACGTGTGAATGGACATATCAGATTCTCACCAATTAAACGCACGACAAACTCTAAACCACATGGGCATAATGGACATTCCCAACAGACCTCCAAATAAAGAACTGGAAAAGTCACTCATATCCCCTGCATTTCTACAGTCCCTAAGAGGCCCACTCCTACATGTGCCACCACATTTTCAGATACACACAACCACCCCACAAATCTCACACCCTCCCAAATCAAACCTTCCTCACATTCTCAACTATACACTGACATCCCCCGACAACTCATGAATATACACACATGTAATAAATTTTACAGATATAAGACATTTGTACCATACAATGACAAATAATAATAAAATATAAACTGCCCTTTATTTTAATTCTATGTAGGAAAATGATTCCAATAGAACGCTCTGGTTGATTTTTCCCACTCCTGCATCCATAGTCAACCCCTGCTCGCAAGTAATCAACAGACTGAATAAAAGCTTAGTATTGGATTTTGAAAAGTTGCTCACAGCACTGACAGAATTAGAAGATGAATGTTGGTTGATAATTTTATGTCACCAAGTTTCAGAAGTGAAACAATGAGGATGTACATTAGACTTTATTCATTTTACAATGGCATGAGGTACTTTTTTGCTGACTTTGATAATGGTTTTCAAACATTCCTCCAGCACTGACCCTATTCACAATGTAAAAGCTAGAGGCTGGATGCAGTGGCTTGGGCCTGTAACCCACCACTCTGGGAAGCAGAGGAGGGAGGATCGCTTGAGGCCAGGAGCTGGAGACCAGGCTGAGTTGGGCGAGACCCATCTCTACCAAAAACAGAAACATAAGCCCGGGGTCGCAGCACGCGCCTGTAGTCCCAGCTACTCGTGAGGCTGAGGCAGGGGGATCGCTTGAGCCCAGGACGTTAACACCGCAGTGAGCTATGATGTCCGCTACACTCTTACCCAGGTGACACTGCCAGACTCTGACTCAAAACAAAAAAAGCAAAGCCGTCACACACTTTCAAGTTCACAATGCATTATTAAATGTCCCCTCTCACTTCACGTCCTGGGAATTAACAGAGCCTAGCAAGAAGCCCCGCCCGGGCGGTGCCCATTTCCCTGTAACACACACTCGCACCCCGACTAGCGGCCACAGGAGGGGGCCGAGGGACCCAGGCGGTGTTGCCCGGCACAGAGTCACCGGAGCCACAAGCCGCGGGCAGGAACAGTGGCACAGAGCAGGTGCATGCCGACCAGGCAAGGGGTCTTCGCATCCATTACCTTCGCTTTTTAGGAAACTGCCTGTAGAAATCTCTGGGGAGGGGCGGCCGTTGGGGAGTGACGCTCGCGCCCCCGCGTCTTCCACAGCTGACCGCCCACAACTGAACCGGAGAGCAGTTGGGACAGGCGATGAGATCGCCGCCCCGCCAACGGTAGCACGTGCGCATGCGCGGAGCGCGGACACCGAGTCGCCTAGGACCAGGCGGGAGCGGCAAGCCAGGCGCGGTCGGCCAAGCATCCGAGTCTTCTCTGGCGCTGGGCACGCCGCCTCTGTAGACCTACATAATCTTCCCTCTTTAAAACGAGCGCATCCAACA